GAACTTTAAACGCCAATATGCATGAAGTTTAAACGTCAATACAAAAACTGATACGTTAAGATAACATTAAAATATCATTATCTATTTTTATTCGATCCTTTTTTCCTTTCTTTACATCAGCTATACGTGAACTTTAAACGCCAATATACGTGAATTTTAAAGGCAAGATTTTTAATATTTTAAATTTCACATATTTGCTTGAAATGTTTGTCATTTCATTAGAAAAAGATTAATTTGTACGGGTATTTCATTTGACGCAAAAGAATGAATTTTCATCTTTTGCGATCCTTTTTTTTTTTAAATGTCGGTCGGTGAACCCATTTCTCACGTTTTTCATCATTCTTGCTTCCATATTCCAATCATTTTCATCATCAAACATCTTCTTCAACGGGAAACGAACTGAAGCAAAAAAACGGATGATTATCTTCTTCGGGAATGATTCTTATTCAACATTTTTAGGCAAACAAATAATTGGATGCATCCGGTATGCTAATTATATTGTAATATCTGCGAATAATTGCTCAATTAATGAAATTGGAAATGGAATTGAAATTCATTAATTATTCAAAAGGAATTCATTCATTGATTCCTATTAGTCTAATAAAGAAAGAATGCTGCAATTATTTCCATGCTACACGTTTAATTTGAATATTAAAATAACAAATGTTTTTGAGATTGATATTTTATTTGATCAAATTTTTATTCAAACCACTTTTTTCTTTTTTTTTTTTTTGTGAAAATAATGTTGAATATTACATGTGACGAAATCTTTTCCTATCTATCAAACGTATTTCTTCTCCTTTTATTTTTTATACATCAAACATCATTCATTTGCACATTCCATTTAGTAACAATTATTTTTTAAAAAATCGCTTCGTATTTATTTTGCAAAATCGCCTAACGTGAAAATAATCATTTGTGAAAATGCTTCGTACGTAAGGTAGAAAGATAATAGTTTGCAAAATCACGTAACGTGAAATTTTAATCATTTGTAAAAACGATTCATACGTAAGGTAGAAAGATAATAGTTTGTAAAATCACGTAACGCGAAATTTCAATTATTTGTAAAAACGATTCGTACGTAAGGTAGAAAGATAATAGTTTGCAAAAGCACGTAACGTGAAATCTCAGTCATTTATAAAAACGATTCGTACGTAAGGCAGAAAGATAATAGTTTGTAAAATCACGTAACGTGAAATTTCAATCATTTGTAAAAACGATTCGTACGTAAGGTAGAAAGATAATAGTTTGCAAAATCACGTAACGTGAAATTTCAATTATTTGTAAAAACGATCCGTACGTTAGATAAAAATTTTGTTTCATCTTATGCACGTTTTCACATCAAATGCTAATTACTAATAAAATCATTCGTTAGCCTTCATCATGTATACACGTGAATTTTAATCGTTCAACATATCAGATAAAGTTAATTAGTTGTAATTAATTGAGAGAGAAAACTTAATTTCTGACAAATTAAAAAAGTTTCCTTAATTTTCCATCAAACTTTTTCTTTTTTCATAAATTTAATTTTTTTACTTTAATTTTCTTTCACATCCTGTTAGCCTCTCTTTTCCAAAAGTTCTCTCGCTCAGCACTTTTTTTTTATCCCTCATCTTTTCCACATTTTATTTCCTATATCCTTCATGAATTTCCTCAATTAAACTTCGTGCATACATCACTTCGCTTTATGTTCTCTGAAATGTATTTTTGTTTCATTCTTTTGTTTATGTCAATTCCTTTCTTCATACTTTTACAAATGTAAGTGTGGGTAAGTATTACTGTAGTAATCAACTGATAAGAAACAAATTTATCAGTTCACCGATTGTTTCACTGTTAGAAAAAAATACTGATAATATCAGTGTGGTAAGTAATGATTATTATACATATTTCTTCCAGAGCAAACAATATGCGACTTTGCTGAAATTGTACTGACTACGCCAACAAATGAAACTTTCAATATTTTCAACAAAAACTACCGTATCGTAATGAGGTTAACTTCATTTCTATTGCTTTTTTTTTTTTACAATTATTTAAGTGAAGAAAGAATTCCAATTTCGTAAATCTCAAACAGGTTAATTAAATATAACACATATGTTTTGCGTACTATTAATCCGTATGATTAATTATCATTTATCCACGATCGCATAAACAAATTAAATGAAATGATTTGTTAATTTTCAACCATAATTGCTGTGTATTTGAAATAGAACAGTTGACATGTTAAACATGTTAATAATTTTGGACGTAATATGTTTAATGTGTAAGGCGTATCAAGTATGGAATTACGTTCTCGTTAAATATGACACTGTAATGAGGATAATGCAAATGGATATATTCTAATCAGTTAATGTTCCATGCCTTGAAAGGTTGATAACCGTTGGCATGAAGTCGTCTTATGTAAGAAACTAGCTAATGGTATATTCCAAGTTATGGGTATGCTTTTTTTTCTTACTGTCACAATATGTGTGACCATTTTATACGTAACAGTTTTGCTAATTCTACAAACATTTCTATGCTACACGGATGTATTTCGTTGATTGAACAAAATTAATGTAAATCATTCGGTTATTTTGCTGAAAAAATTCACCTGCATATGTAGAGCTATTTGGAAAACCACAAAGATGTAATTGCTGGGATTAAAAATTATTGTGTTATCAGTTATAATTGTGTCCTTTGAAAAAAAAAATCGCGATAAACAAGATCATTTTGTCTTCGTGGAAAATCCATGTATTTCTTAAATGTGCATATGTGTTTACTAGTTAAAACTATATCATTTGTTATTTGCAAAAACAAAAAACAAAAATAAAGGTAAAAAAGTACAAAAATAAAAAAATGAAAATTCTTGAGCACTTTTTTGTTTCTAATATCAGCACTTTAATTTGGTCGATATGTATATATTTTTTTTGCAGTCAAAAATCAGTGCAATTAAATCACGCTAATGAAAAACGGAGTGACCGGAGTGCAAGCGCGATTGGACGAAGGTTGTATTATCCTCGACCACAACTTCAAACTTCTGCACTTGTTTATTGTGCATTACAGGTCTGTGATTGTCATTGAAAATTGCCATTATTACTTTGCTTTGCAACATATTTGAACTCATAAACCTTGACTCTTTCACCTTTCCTTAATATTTTTTAAATCATTTTCGTGTTGAGTGCCACTGAGTGCCAAATGATATCCTTTATCTTGCTCTCAGAAAATAGATTTTTTGGCAGTTGGCGAAGTGTTGGGGTACAGCGCTAGTACATTGCAAAATATATCTGATTCAAAACCATCACTAGAAGAAAATCATTGGAGATGAAAGAGAAAAGGGACTAGTAAAAGGACGAGTACTTAGCAGAATATTTATTTACTTTTTTCACATAAATCTAAGATATTTCAAGTACAGAAATTACTGAAATACTTTTTAGTTTTCCTCAAACATTCTTGCGTATGGGAACATATAACAAAATCTTATGAAATACAGGACAAAATTAATATTTGTTATCAAATATTAATCGATGTTATTGGATAGATAAATAAAAGGTGTTTGCCAGACATTAAGTTACGATAGAATCAGATTTCATTGTATGTTGTTCGCTCTATTTCAATAAATTTTTAGGTAATGTTTATATCATTCTTGTTCAGTTACAATGGTATTAGTGCTGGCGATGTTTTGTTTCCCATTTTATCGTGGATATCAGAACACTCTCAAAAGGTATACTTACAAGTTCCTCCTGCAAAAAAAGAAAATTTTTACAGTTAAGTTCTGGAAAAAGCTTATTATACTTTTATTTTTAATAATGCATAGCCGATTGTTCCGCTTATTTCCCTGGATATTAAGGTTGCCTACTTTTTTCGATAAGGTTCCGACTGCGGCTTATTGAAATGCCACATATAATTTGTTCTTATGATGCTCATTCCACATCAAAGAATAACTTTATCATCCTTATTGAAGTTTCATTATGTTTGTTCATCAATATTTCAGCTTCCATTGGTTCAAAGTATCAATGAATTAGTCCGTCGATTGTTGGATAATCTACTTTCTTTGATTAGCCATGAAAATCCTAAAACTTCGACATCTCCAACCAAAGGAAGTCGTGTAAAACAAAAAGTGAATACGAACAGTGTTGTATTTATGAAAAAAGTTGATGCTAGCCTACCCGTCTTGACGAAGTATGACTTCTTCTATCCATCACTGGATTACTGATTCTGTTAATGTCATTTGGTTGAATTCTTTTGCTAATGATCCATTTTATGGAGTGGGAAATTACAGGGAACAGTTATCTTTCTTCGATGGAACGCGCCCGTCCAAGGGAACATATCTCTCCATACTGGGTCGTATATACGATGTGCAAAAAGGTGTCAAGCATTATGGTCCCGGTGGTTCATATCATTTCTTTGCAGGTATCTCTAAGCCATTTTTCGTCGCATGCCTAAGGAATTATTATTTGTTTATCTTATATGGAGAGACGGATATCCATCGCTTATTTCTGACTAATATTTAGTTGGAAAAACCTGACCCAGGATGGTACTTTCACAAAGATTTTAGATGATCGGTCTTGGAACGATTAGATTTGTCCAGAGAGAAATATGAAGAATGAGAGGTTGAAGTAGTTTTGTTCAAAATACGACGTCAACATCGTGTAATCATGACTACTGAAACATGGAAGATCGATCAAGCGCTTTTGAAAGTCAATTGATATAGCTACAGTTAGTATAACATGGGGAAACTCGTTAGTAAATTATGTTGATTATAAGAGCAATAAACATGGAGGTCCCGTAACTCGTTTTATGTTCCCATAACAAAAAATGCGTTGTTATTAGATTTCAGTTTTTGTTCAGGTCGTGATGCAACGCGTGCGTTTGTCAGTGGCGATTTTACCGAAAAAGGTCTGGTAGATGATGTTGAAGGTTTTAGTGATCAGGATCTGTTGGGTATCTTTGACTGGATCAAGTTCTATGAGAAAGATTATGATCTCGCCGGTTATCTTCAGGGGACATACTATGATGCTTCTGGAAAACCAACTTCGCGTTTAGAAGTATGATTTTCAGCAATTATTTATCTGATTATTAGAACTAAATTTAGCATAATTAAAATGAATAACGAAGAAACTAATCCTGTTAAATGAGCTCTTTATTTTACTCGAAATGATATCATTACATAGCAATGACTAAAAAATGAAACCTTTGTATTAGTGATAGATTCTGATTACACTCTTTCTGAAGAGGACAATCTGAAGTACCTTTCTTTTAAATTATCTTTGTTTTTCCATCCATTGCTTTATAATGCAGTAGTTTTAGCAGTTATGAATTTTTTATGCATAATTTAATGCGTAGTAATGGTATATAACAACACGAAAGAGTGAACCTTTATACTGATAATGCCGGGATCATATGTGCTTGCAAAACTCAAAACGGGTTCTTTTCGATATTGCAGAAATCACGTGTATAGTGATCTACCATGTCTTAAGTATATTGTAAGTATCGGTCATAATTGATAATATGAAAATCAGAACCAAGAATTGTTTTAATGAAGTTCCTGAAATCTTGTCCAATCGTAATACCCTCATGCATACATTTTGTCTATGATTTAAAACTGATCTAACTAATGATATCAAATCTGAAAAGGAATTCTAAATCTTAGGAAGTAATCAAACTGATAGAAAATGCACTTCACTGGAAAGATATGCAAGCGGAAGAAACAAAAATTTTCCCACCTTGTAATTCTGAGTGGCAAAAAGATATCGGTGGGCGAGTGTGGTGTTCAAAGAAAAGGTTTTTTTTTGTTTCTTGTTTTTTTTTCTAGCTTTAGTGGTCGTAAATAACTGTTGCTTATTATTGTAATTGCTTTTACTTATTTATGATTATTTGCATTTATAATTTTTCTATTTTTCCATACATGTTTCTTTTCCGAAATATAGCAGAATAAGGTTTTTTTCTTTTCCTTTTTTTTTTTTGAGGGGGAGATTTTAATTCCGAATTACATTTTAGTGGTGGAATCGAAAGAGATTGGGTTGGAGTGCCAAGAAAAATGTTTGATGCGAGATCGAAATCTTATCGGTACATTAAAATTCTCTACTATAGCGTTTCATTTTATGAACAATTTTTCTAAAATTAGTTTTATAAATGCTTTTTGAATTGCCCTTTTTTTGAAACTACTATTCATACATGCAGTTATGAGAGGTACTTCAAATTTCATGTACATCGTCATTACAAAGCATTTTTTAAAATATTTATGATAATGAATACACGCACTGAGCGGAAATACTGTTAAATAAATGAGAAAATAAATTAGCTATGGTAAAGACAGTTTCCTTCTGAACATATCTGCATATGAACTTCTTATTTTATTGTCACAGCGGCAGTTGTAAGTTATTGTCTTCTTTGCAGGTGTGCATGTGTGAAAAACTTTGGTGCTCCTCTTTCGAGGTTTTCTGGGATGAATGAAAATGGTGGACATGGAGACTTAGGAAATCCCAGTCTGAAGGAATATGAAGGTTGCAAACCGACATCGACTACTTGTAATGATAATTCTTAGCACTACACGAGATTTGCATTAGTAAAGATAGCTTGTAGGGTAGTGTACTGTTTATGATTGTTCCCCGTGATCCATTTCAGCTTTATTTTTATCAGTCGGTCTCATCATTAGTTTAAAACAGAGGCAACCCATGAATAGGTCTACCAATGGATCGATCTGAGTAAATTGTTACACATTTGGCATGTTAGGATCTTCAGAAAGCCGATATTTGCTCACGTTCGACTTGCAATTAGTCATTTAAAAGAACGCAGAAGTAAATGGAAATCTCATATTCCTGGAAGAACAGAAATATTTATCAAATGCAAGGAAAAAAACATATCTATTTGTATTAAAAATGAATGTGAGATAAAGGAAATTTAAGTAAGTTGAAACTTTCGAGGTTTATTTCTGGGTCTTTCCATATAGTGTAGACTAACAGATTTTATGCAGTCCTAAAACTCTTGGTCGTAAGAAAATTAGTCGCTTGAATATTACCGACCGGTAGAGATATCTTTTTCTTCAATACTCATGTTTATGATACACATTTATAAGTAACGTAATGGTGTAAATACATTCTATAACTTTCGGTTTTCTCGTCACACAGTTCTCCTTTGCAGTTGTGGAATTCTTTTTTCTTTTTTTTTTCTTTTTTTTT